CCGCCCCCAGCAGAACGGACCGGGTGGCGAAAGAATTCTAAACAGAGGTGCCGGGTGACCTTGGGGGACAGGTGGGGGGGGGCAGGGGCTGCAAATGGGATGGGGAATGGGGAGGGGCCGGGCCGTCTTTCAAGCTCGCTCCTCTCTAAAGCCGCCTGGACCTGCTTTTAGAAACCTGTCGAAAAATTGGTCTCGGTGGTTGGAAGATGGGCTTCACCAGGGCAGCCACATTTGGGGATCGTGTCTCCGTGGTCCTCTGGAGACATGGATATGGTGGCTTTCAGGAGCTTGGGAACCCACCAAGACTTACACAGAAGTTTATAAGTGTTTCATTTTCTGTTTTAATCACGTAAGTGTATATTTTTCTATCTTGATCACTAAAGTTACATCATAATGAACATATCTTCCTTTAGGTGGTGTTCCTACTGATGACGAGCAGGCAACTGGACTGGAGAGGGAGGTCATGATGGCTGCACGGAAGGGACTGGTGAGGAGAAACTCCCTTCCGTGGCGCTCATGGTCTTGGATGGGATCAGAGTAGTCTCTTGGGAGTATTCGATCCAGGAACCTGGATTGTTATTTGGCATAATGACTCAATCCTTGTTTTTTTTCAGGACCCATACAATTTACTACCCCCAAAGGCAGCTTCAGGCACCAGGGAAGATCCTAATTTAGTTCCTTCCATTACCAACAAGAGAATAGTGGGCTGCATCTGTAAGTACTTACCTCTGCTTCATCTACTTGTTTCATACAGCCTATACAGGGCATTAAAAATGCTTCAGCTCTTTCATGCATGGGAGAGAGAGATGGAAGGTTTATGTAAAGAGGGTAGGTGTGTAAATAAGTTGTTTTTTGTTTTTCTTTTTTTGGAGAAATTTTTGCTATAGGGCGTGTGTGCTTGCCAGACAGAGACAGAAAGCGAGAAATCACCCCCCCCTCAGGGGGGGGGGATGGCCATGCGGCAATCCCTTCTCCTCCTTTCTCCTCTTGGAATCTGGGTGCACACGCACGCACACACACACACACACACACGCATCTGGTGTGAGTTTAAGCCACCGGGTCCGGGACTCAAATCGCGGTCGACTACATGGGAGTCCAGCGACGTAGCCATTACACTAAGTGCTGGTCCCAGATAAGTTGTTTTAATGGTTCTGGCATCTTCAGGCTGCTTTATGTCTGAGTAGGTGGCCATCCTTACTAGCGAGAGCCATGGAACAGCGAGACTGGCTCACTGGAAGTACATTATGAAGAAGGAGCCTTCAGAAAATATTCATTGTACCACTTGTGTGCCAGGCATTGTTTTAGTAGGTACTAGACCAGTCGGACCCTCTGAGTAGATAAGGAAATTGTTAGAACGTACAGTGACCCTGATAGAAAGTCATCATACTCACAGATAAATTTGGGGCCTCTGAATTTATCTGAAAAATAGGAGGGAGAACTTGAACTGATCTCTCAAGATGTGAGCCATAGTTTTATTTGCATCTCAGAGGTGTCAAGGAAGAGTAATATGGAAAGTCTCCCTTTCTAGGCTGGGTGACCTTCATCCACGTCATTTCCTTTCAGGTGAAGAGGACAACAGTGCTGTCATCTGGTTCTGGCTGCACAAAGGCGAGACCCAGCGATGCCCTAACTGTGGAACCCATTACAAGCTGGTGCCCCACCAGTTGGCCCACTGAGCCCCTCAAAATGTGTTGTAAAGTTTATTTCCAATAAAGACTAGCCATCGCAATGGCTCTTCCTCCTGTAGGTGGCTGGTTTCCTTTCCTGTGTTTTTGGGTAGGCATGGGTGATTCTGTTTAAACTAGCTTGCCTCCCACTTACTTAAAACCTACAGCTAGTGTTCAGTGCTTAGATTAATAATAAAAATAGACTGGCATCCCATACTGCAGTGATCGGGATCACCTGCTACGGGGAAGGCTGTGTAGTAGGCTGACTGGACTTACTGGCTCCACTGTTTGGCTGTGTCACTGTGCAGGTATCTCTGAAGGTCATTCATATTTACAAAAAAGATAAATACCTTATAAGGTGTTAGAAGTAATTATTTCATATGTGACGGACCTGGCACAGAGTAGGTCTTCACAGTAGTGTCATCAGGGACAGGGTGGCCTTGTGAAAAAGAGTTTGGGAACTCTGAAGTTGTGTCTTTTTTTTGTTGTTCCTAGAAGGCACATGCTCACCAGAGTGAGCGCAGTCCCCAGCGGGCCACGGCCAGGCTGCAACCCTTTTTCCTCCTTTTCTCCATCTATCAGGATTGGGGGCACACGTGTACCTCCTGAATGTTTTTCAAGCCACTGGGGCAGGGACTTGAACCAAGGTTAGCCATGTGGAACCCAGCTTTCTATGCAGAGTTTAATACTCTACTATTAGGTTGGCCCTGGATCTTAAAGATAAATACATTGGAATAATTTGAACTTTGGGTGTTTGATATTTAAACATTTGTAAACTTTTTAGGTATGTTTATATTATAGATGCTGTGGTTTGAGTGTCACCAACAAAACATGGTGAGGTTTGGTCTCAGTGGGACAAAGTAGGGAGGTGGAATCTTTAAGATGTGGCGCTTAATGGGAGATATTTGAGCCATGGAGCTCTACTCTCATGGGTAGATGTGGTACATTTCTAGCGGGAGTGAGATACCTTGAGAGCTGGTTGCTACCAAGCAAGCCTGGCACCTCCCCTTTCTGGCACGTGGGTGTCCCTGTCCCATGTTCCCTGTCCCCTTGTTGCAGCATGAGGCCTTTGCCAGAAGCAATCATAAGCAGGAGGTAATAGAATTTCTAAGCCTGCAGAACCACGGGCAGATAAGCCTGGAGAAATCGCCTAGCCTAAGGTATTCTGTTGTAGCAACCTAATCAGACTGAAACTACATGTATTTTTCATGCTTTAGAGATAAATGGAGGGGGCCAGCAAGTAGTGTGGTGGTTAAGGATGTTGGGCTCCCACATGGCCAACTACAGTTCAAGTCCTGGACCTGATGGCTTGCTTTCCCGCTTTCCCTCTCTCTTTCTTCACCCGACACTCCACCTGTCTCTGGTCAAATTGAAAGTAAGTAAAGTAATTCTCTAAAAAGAAGGAAAAATGTGGAAATATACATTAAAGGGAAGAAACAAAGCAATTTAAGCCATTTATACTTGTAACACCTTGGACAGGTAAAGATCTCATAAACATCTGTAAAATGGAAATACCTTTTCTTTTTTTTTTCAGGAGTCTGCCTTAGGGCACGTGTGCTTGCCAGAAATACCTTTTGTTTAAGATTAGCTAGAGGTGGCTTTAGTGACTGTTCCTACACAATTGGTTCAAACTACATCAGTCTGAACTAATGATAGGACGGTCAAAGAAAAGGGACAACCCCGCCTTGCCTTGTCTGAAAGGCGTAGCCAGAGCTATCGCATCTGTTCCTTGCTGTCAGTCATTCTGTTTCTAGGAAGTTCCCAAGCATCGATCTAATACTCAAAGCTCTTTCCTCTGGGAATGGATACTCGGTATAGACATCTACTCAGCCTCGCCCCCACTCCCATGTAAATGCTGTTCTAAGCCAGTTTCCCAGTCCCTTCTCTGAAGCCTGGTCTGGTGGTGCTGCCACGCCTTCCTGTCTGGCTGGCCACCACTTCACTGCCTTTCCACCATATCCCCTTCCAGTCAACAGGGTTTTTGACTCCCACAGCATTAACTGTCACCTCCCTCCCTCCCTCATCTCCAAGTTCTTTTTTTCACCCCTGTGGCTTTTGAAACTTTTTACCCAGTTAATCTAAAGGAAGTGAAATCTTAAGTACATTTCCAGACTGGTACACAGAATAATGGTTTCTTAAGATGTCCACGTCCTAACCCTTGAATATGGGTGTTGGAATGTTAGGTCACACAGCAACACAAGATGAAGGGTCCAGCTGGGGTGGTACACAAAGTGCCACCACTGGGAGGTCAGAGGCTGCTCGGGAGGCCCATGTGTAGGTCCTGAGCCAATCTAAACGTGGCACAACTGCGCATGCCTCGTCCCGGCTAACAGGGAGGCTGAGGCAGGAGGATTGTGACACTACGACCCCATCAAGGATGCCTATCTCCAGCCCCCCACCCCAGTAAATGGTAGGGGAGAGAAGAATTAAGATCGCTAATCAGCTGATCTTAAAATAGGGAGATTATCTAGGTGAGCTCAATAAGCACAAGGGCGGAAGGAGGGAGGGAGATGGGACCGTGGAAGGATGGCGGGAGAGACAGTGTTGCAGGCTTTGAAGATGAAAGGAGGGGACCAGGAGCCAAGGAATCTAAGTAGCTTCTTGGCAGAGGGCATAGCAAGAAGATTCTCCCCCAGTCCCTGCAAAGAAACAAGCCCTTGCTGACACTTTATTTCAGCCCAGTGAGTCCCATGTTAGACTTCTACAGGACTAGGAAGATAATACTTGGGGTGTGTGTGTTTAAATAATGAATTTTATTTATTTTTTCATTTGCTACAGGGCACATGTGCTCACCAGAGAGCCAGCGTGAGTGCGAGTGAGAAAGCAGGCTGTGAGGTCCAAGACTCCAACCCTGGTTGGCCATGTGCAAGTCCAGCGCCTTAACTATCTTGCCACCTGCTGGCCCCCATTTGTGTTGTTTTAAGCTACTATTGTAAATTTTTGATAATTGTTTATGGCAGCAACAGTAAATAAAAACACTGGTAAATTCAATTCTTACCTCTTGGGTCTGTGGGTCTCAATTTAGCTGCACCCTCGAGTCATCTGGGGACCTTTTTACAAAGCCCAGTGCCCAGGCCTCACCCAGACCAGAAAGCAGAGTACCTGGGGGTGGGACCCAGCATCAGAACTGTAAAGCTCCCCAGGTACTCTAACCTGCAGTTAAGGCTGAGAACCTCCTCTTTGGGCCACCCATGTAAACGCGAATATTCATTTCCCTCCTTGGTAATTATGAACCCTAGGGGCACAGAAAAAAATGGGATAGCCCCCACTAGCAGGACCAAACTTTTGATCCCGGGTTGAAGTGGGCTCCATCTGGACCTTTGGCCACTTAACTTCTTAGAAATTGAATTCCATCTCCTCTCGCCCAGGAAGCATGTAAACTCTGCTCTAATGGTATTTATTAAACTGACGTCACGTACAGAATAAACTTTTCCAGGACCTTTCAAGAGCAAGTTGCTGATCTAATGTCCCATCATGCTTGCATGGGTAACTTTTTCCCCCTTTACTCTTGATACAGCACTTATAAGGTCTTTTCATGATCCCCTGCCTCCAGTCCCCAGCCTGTTGGATCCTGACCCTCACACAAATGCTTAGTGTTTCAGGATGACTGGGCTGGGGTTTGAACTGCGGTTGCCACTCCAGCTTTTCTTGGGCAGCACGTTACCACTGCCACAGAGCCAGCCTGTGTATTTCTTACAAAGATCTCTCTCTTTTTTTTTTTTTAAAGGTTTTTGCCACAGGCTCATGTGCTTGCTAGAGAGAGACAAAGAGACAGAGAAAAATCCCTCCTCCCCTGCCCAAAGGAGGATGGCAATGCTGCAATCCCATTTTCATTACCTCTCAGGATTTGGGGCACACGTGCATACATACCTGGCTTGTTTTTTAAGCCACCAGATCTGGGAGTCAAACTGCAGAGTTGGCCATGTAGGATCCAGTGCCTTAATCACCATGCTGGCCCCAAGACATTCCATCAAAATCAAGAAAGTATGTAAAATCTGGGTCTACCAGGTGGCATGGTGGTTAAGGTTCTGGACTCACATGGTTGACTGGTTTAAGTCCTAGAGCTGGTAGCTTGCTTTCTCACCCCCTCCCCCACTCTCTCTCTCTGGTGAATCCATGTGCCCTATAGCAAATTAAAAAGTAATAATAAATCAAGTTAAATATTTTTTGGGGGGGAGAGATTTTCACTATAGGGGGGTGTGTGCGCTCACCAGACAGATAGAGACATAGAGACAGAAAGCGAGAAGTCACCCCCCAGGGGGGATGGCCACGCCGCAATCCCTTCTCCTCCATTCTCCTCTCGGGATCTTGGGCACGCACGCACACGCGCCCGGCGTGAGTTTTAAGCCACCGGGTCGGGGACACGAATCGCGATTGACTACGTGGGAGTCCAGTGACATAGCCATTACGCTAACTGCTGGTTCCCAAATTAAATATTTTTTTAAGTATGCAAACTCCCAAGAGGAGAATGAAGAGGGTATTGTAGCATGGCCATCCCCACTGGGAGATGATTTCTCAACTTCCCTTCTCTGTCTCTCTGTCTCCCCAGCAAGTACACATGGCAAAACCTAAAAAAGAAAAATAGGTCAAGAAAGTATGATGCATATATTTCTACCATCTAATCCTCAGAATCTATTCACGTTCTTGAATGTCTCAGTGTCTTTTATGGCAAAAAGATGGGGCTCAGGATCACGATTTGCCTTTGGTCGCCATGTCTGGAACGTGGCATTTTTCCTTGACTCTCCTGACCATGACAGTTTTGAGAACTTGGCTTTGTGTTTCCTCGTGATTGGATTCAGGTTTTACGTCTCGGGCAGGAGTGCCAGAGTGAGGCTGTGCCCTTTTCGGGAGGCACATGGTGCTGACTCGTCCCACGGCCCTGAGATTTCCTGTGGTCACCTGATGAGCTGCCTGCCAGGCTGCACTGTGAAGTTGGTCTTTATGACTACTTTTATAAGAGGTAAGTATTTTTGACAGGGTCTTGCCACATCATGATCCTCCTGCCCCAACCTTCCAGTCGGCTAGGACCACAGACACGTACCACTGTGCTGGGCCCAAACAGGTTGACCCAGAGCCAAA